GGTCTGTTGGCTACTTGTATATTGTATGCATAGATACTTCGGAGTACAGATCGACGGTGGTACCCATATCCCCCCCTCCCCCAACAAATAATGTCCTTCCCAATTTCGGCGAAAAACTGTCAACTTTTTGTGGTATCCCCCGGGGTGATTGTTTTTTCAAAAACAAAGTTGTCCCGCCCTATTATATGTACTCCCGGGGTAAAGTAAACATTATCAGCCTTTTTTTGTGAGACAGCCCCTCGGGGATTTGTTTTCGGGTGATTTTTTGCCACAAGTACTTATACTTACCAGATCACAACGTGTCAGAGCTGACGCGCCCAACCCTAAGTATTGTATTTTACCGTGTTTGGAAACGACGTTAACTGAAGGCAATACCGACGAATCGTAGTCGCTGGAGATGTCGCTTTGGTCGTCTTGCTCGCTCTCCTTCCTGCACCAGTCCCTGATGAGTTAGGCACGTAATGCCAACAAGCACCACACTCTCTCCTTGAAGCAAACGGGTCACGCTAAGCTAACCTGCTACCTCTTGGCCCCTTGCAAGGCCTGCTATCCTCCCAGGGTCCCAACATACACTTTGTGGGCAGTCTTCACCTGACAAGACCCCGCCCTATACACCACACAGGGCATGTTCGTATGGGGTAACCCCTGCAAGGTCTGACACCTTGCCGGGGCCCACATTTTCACCTTGTTTACACCATGACCCTGGCAGGGCATGTCCGACAACACTGATCAGGGTATCGGCCTGCACAAGGTCATGACCTTCGACCCCCCCAAGGAAAAGAGCACCTTATCAGGGTCCTCTCCCACACCTTGTGGCCACTACAGTAGCCACCCTCTACAGCCCCCCTACAGGGTGCCTACAGGGTTGAGCCCTCTGCCAAGGGGTCCCCAAAGTGACTCGAAACAAGCCTCACTATTATTGTGTTCCCCCCGGCGTGATCAACCCTCGAAGTTTTCACGGGAAAGTTCATCTCCTCCCCGCGTACAGCACCGTCGACCGCGGTACTCCCTCGCGCCCGACCACTGTTTTTTTTCAATATGCCATGCACCATAAAACCTACGGAGTATGACCATGATAAACAAACGTTGTGAATAGGAAGAGGACATCATAACGCAAACTGGAGACGTGTCAAATAAAAGAGCCCACATGCGCGTGACGACTGTTGTTTGAGAGCACACTGATCAGTTTGGGTCGGAAGGCCTGCTATCCTCCCAGGGTTCCAACATTGGATGGCAGGGCGACGCCCCTAAAAACCGTAATGGGGGGGGGGGATAGCTCCGAAGGTCTCCATTTTCAACCCTGCACTAACCCTGTCACCTTACCAAGGCCGAACATGACAGCAGGACGATGCCCCTCAACACCGTAGAGGGGGGGGTGTACTCATAGTCCTGCATGCCGTCGTCGTTAGACCATTGACCTCGCATCCCTACAAAGCCGGGACGGAGCACGCCGGGTTCTCACCGGACCAGGCTCTCACATCACCAAGCGCGAAGCGCCGTGAGGTATTTGGCGAGTCGCATGAAGGGTGAGCTACATCCTGCTAAGGGTGTTCGGCATCTTGTGCTTACTTCCTTGCGTACGGATGACAGCTGCGTATGACCTAATTTATTTCCTGGTGCTTTCACTTCCAGAGACAGTTGTAAGCACTGTGTAACTGCCTCGAGGATGCTTGACCATTTTAACACAACGTGGTGCGATCATCCCCCGTTGCGTGGAGTGAGGTTTCTTCACCCCGCACAACATGATTTACTCGACGACCATTATGGTTACCGCTAAAAAAAAAAAGAGGTAAAAAAAAAACCGGTAACCTGGTTGCCGAGTTCACGAAGTGAATTGGCTTGTTTTACAACGTCGTTGCCAAGCGACGAAAACCCAATCCCGATGGCAAACACCGAGGGGGGGGGGCGTAAGGGGGGCCCTAAAAGGGGGGGGGGGGGGGGGGAAATCTACCCTCATGTCCGAGGTGGCGAAACCCG